ATATAGATCGAAAATGGACGTTTATACCGGAAGTGGGGGGTAGGAGGGGGGAGGGGGTCTAAAAATTTTTTTTTGGGACCTTTTTACCATGTACTATAACATACCAAAAGCGCGTCAAGATCGGTGACATACGTGCGCACGGTTTTGTAAAAAAGTATTATTTTGACCCATATACACTATTATAATGAATTACGAAATGAATTTGCATTGGTCCAGGCGATCGTGCTACCTCCATTAGCGAAATGGCCTCACGAAAGCGGCTTCACGTTTACGACGTGGTTCAGGCTGGATCCCATCAACTCCGTTAATATCGAGCGTGAGAAGCCGTATCTGTATTGGTGAGTATACGTATACACACATACTACATACCTGCACGATATCAACTAGTCTCTCTCTCTCTCTCTCTCTCTCTGGCGTGTGACGTGGGTGATCGGGCGCGCGGCGGGCGGACAACTACCTACTATACTACTGCATGTGCACACGTCGAGGGCGAGCCGCGCGCGCCTCGACTATATGCTGGAGCCGTCAACTAGCGGAGCTCCGGCATTCTTTCGCTCATTCAGCCCCTCTGTCAGCTCAGGTGCTTTGTTTCCTATTGTTTAATCACGTTAATTAGTCGGGCTACATTCATTCGCCCCTGTGCGTTCCAAGAGAGGAGAGACAGAGAGAGAGAGAGAGAGACGAGGAGAGCGAATAACCCACAATCGAATACGTGAAATGCTTGCTTGCTCGCGAATGACATTCTGAGCAGCTCGTCGTCGTCGCGTAACTGCTGCTTTTTGCGAGCGACTCGGGCGAAACCTCGCGACCGTCATTCGTAATTGCGCTTGTATTTTCCCCCGACCCAGCTGCTCGCTCTCTTTTTCGATGAAAATCCGTCTTCTCAACCGGAGTAATCGATATTTTCCAGTTTCAAAACTGCTAAAGGTGTGGGCTACTCGGCACACTTTGTCGGCAATTGTCTGGTTCTCACTTCGATGAAAGTTAAGGGCAAGGGCTTCCAGCACTGTGTCAAATACGAATTCCAGCCGCGAAAGGTATGATGACTTTTCTTGAACTCCGAGAGACGAGAAAATTGATCTATTTTCTTATATGTAAAATGTATTATTTTCAGTGGTACATGATTGCAATAGTGTACATATATAATAGATGGACAAAGAGCGAAATCAAGTGCTTGGTCAATGGTCAATTGGCTTCGAGCACAGAGATGGCTTGGTTCGTCTCTACCAACGATGTAAGTATCCCACTTTCCTTCCTCGAGTCTGCAACTTTTTTTCTTCGTTCTTTTGAACCGTTGACTATTTGCCGCGTTTCGTTTCAGCCGTTTGACAAATGCTACATCGGTGCCACACCCGAATTAGACGAAGAACGCGTGTTTTGCGGACAAATGAGCGCCATTTATCTCTTTAGCGAGGCGCTGACCACCCATCAGATTTGCGCGATGCACAGATTAGGTCCTGGATATAAGGTAAAATACATCAAAACAGTATTACATTCTTAACAATTTTTATCTGCGAAACGTGTGAAATTTGTCAGAATTCACACAAAAAAAGTAAAAGCGTGGACATATGATACTGAAACGTGAGTTGGTTTCGAGTTTTGTGCTCGAGGCTGCACTCAAAGGCGGGAAAAAAAATTCCGATAAGAATCGCGTGTGTAGCGTAATCCACGTTCTCGTACGTTTTTGCATTTCAGAGTCAATTTCGGTTCGACAACGAATGTTATCTAAATCTACCTGACAATCATAAAAGGGTGAGTCATGAGCAGGAGCTTGCGAGCATGGTGGACCAAAGTTTGATGACTGTAAGCATTTCCTTTTTATTTTCGTTCCGTTTTTTTCATTTTTCGTTTATAAATTGCCACTGTTTAATAACTTATATAACATGGTGTAAGTTAGCACGTTATCGCCTATTAACCGAGTTCACCTTCGTCAAAGGTAAAGCACCCAATAACAATTAGCGACTTGTTAGCTGGGTTTCACGACTATCATTCAATGTCTTTTAATTTGCCACTAACGCATGAACGTAATTAGTTACATAATAATAATAATAATAATAATAATAACAAAGGCATTTTTTAAATTATTTTTAAATGAAAATTGAACGTTCAACAGAATCGATCGAATATTCATTTAAATGATACAAATTAATTGAACTATTTATTAAAACTCAATCAAAGTGCATGGAGTTTTTATTATAATTTTACGATTTTTTTTAATTTAGAAATTGCTTGCGTTTTTTCTCTGTAATAATATACTTCCCAGCATGAAAATTCGTTCTGTATTAAACAAAAGGTGATTGCTCTATTTAGGAAATGAATTCTCGTTCATCTGTGAATTCTGTATAACATTATTTCGACTCAATAAATCAAGAATACCAGCACGAACCTTTTCTAACTATATTTAATCGCAGGTGCTTTACGATGGAAAATTGTCAAACGCAATTATGTTCATGTATAATCCCGTCGCAACGGACTCGCAACTGTGTCTGCAAAGTGCTCCCAAAGGCAACGTTTCTTACTTTGTACATACTCCACACGCCTTGATGTTGCAGGTGGGTCGAAAAATATCTATACAAATCTTACTGTGCGTCTCGTACTTTTTTTTTATGTAATGAATGTCCCATAAAATGGATTTTTAATGATTGCAGGAAGTTAAAGCTGTAATTACGCACTCCATACATAGCACTCTGAACTCCATCGGCGGAATTCAAGTACTCTTTCCTTTATTCTCACAATTGGATATGCCTTATGATTGCATCGCGCCAAATGATATTAAGCGCGATCCTACTTTATGGTGAGTAAACGTAATATTTTAAAATTTCGCCGACTCCGACTCTTGGATTAATTTATGCGATTAAACGCAGCTCAAAACTACTCGGATTCATATGCGATCTAGTCGAAAGCTCCCAAACTGTTCAGCAGCACATGGTGCAGAACAGAGGTTTCCTCGTAATAAGTTTCATGCTTCAAAGAGCGAGCCGCGAACACCTTACCACGGAGGTCCTCACCTCTTTTCTCGAGCTCACGAAACATCTGGTTACGTGCCACAGCGCTAACAGCGATCTTCTGCTAAAACAGGTATTTCAACATTTTAAACAATATATAGCACAGCGCTGTTTCAAAAACACATGCTAGAATCAGCGACCATAAAGTTTGTTATTTTCATGTTTCTTTGACTGGAAATCTCGTGCAGAAATAATTTTTCACAAAGTGAAACAAAAATATTGATTACGCATTCATTGAGTTGATATATGCATGCAATAAAGTTTATTATATTAAGTATTTGGCGGAGCACAAAATAAAAACATGTAGATAAACATGAATATTAATGGGTCATTTTCATTTTCCATGAGTTCATTAAATAAATGTTTTATTAAACCCTTCATCGTAATGACCAACTTTGTTTTTTTAATCTTTTTAACATCAGGCTATTTATTTTATTGGTAAATGGTTTTTTACGGATCACGTGTAATCTCTACCGGCTTTTGAATTCACTCCAGAACAACGTTTCGCGTATTTTAATTTTCCAAATAAGTTATTCGAACAGTAGTATAAGCTTGAAAATAAAAGCTTTATCAACAGAATTTGTGTTTTCAATTTCTGCGAGCTTTTTGGTACGTGTCAAAGCTATCTTTATCTTTTGAATCAAGCGCGCAACGTTGAATTATGCAAAGCTCAGCGGAAAAATGCAAAGTTTTCCTGAAAAATTTCAAATAAAAAAAATCACATAAAATTCTGATGGAAATGAAGATAGCAGCAAAAAGTTTGAGCTCGCGCATGAAAAGGCAAAAGCCGCGTTAGTAGTTGTAGTAGTAGTAAGCAAGCAAGCAAGCAGATAGAAGAGCATATCCGTACGTACACATAAAAGGAGTGAGTTGAAAAGTCGGGAAAAGATTGATGCGTCCCGGGGAACAGACAGGCGGCACCCCATGGTGATATAGAACTTTTATTTTTCATACCTGGTATGGCAGCTGCTGGATCACGTGCTCTTCAATCCTGCCCTCTGGATCTACACACCTGCGCCCGTGCAAACGAGGCTCTACTCGTACCTGGCGACCGAGTTCTTGAGCGACACGCAGATTTACTCGAACGTGCGGCGGGTCTCCACCGTCTTGCAGACCGTCCATACGCTCAAGTACTATTACTGGGTGGCGAGCCCGCGCAACAAAAGCGGCATCACCCCCAAGGGTCTAGGTATATACACTGCACATGTTCCTGAAGCTTTTTCACTTTTTTGCCATGTTGTAGGCCGAGTGTAATTACTCTTTGCGCCCGCTCCCGTATTGCAGTCGTTGAGAATAAAAGTCACCCTCGCAGTGCCGTTCATATACTGCGTAACACAGTTCGGATTTGCATTTTACACATTATTTACGCTCGTTCCGAATTTTTCGAATGGCGCAGTCAATGAATTCAATGAATTTTCGTGCTCGCACTTTCAATCGATTTTAATACAGCGCGCCTGGTAACATAACTGATATTTTATCTTGCTTCACCCTCGGGAAACGAATCGAACGCGAGGCAGATTATAATTAGTTATCTTCAATTATCTCAATTAATATTTAAACCGAATTATATCGCGTTGCATATAAAATGTATACATTTTATATTTATCTCATCATATAGATTAATGGATTCATGCAAATGTATCTCGTGCATAGTTACATTATGTGACAAATATAAAGTATAAAAAAATTGCATTAAAATTATTTTATATTACTTTTAAAAAATAAAGTATAAAATTTCAACTCAAAATTTATTCTTTGAAATTTTGTATGAAAAATAATTTTTTTTTTAAATATTATAACTTTAACGAAACTTGTGTACTAATTGGATTAGACCTTTTTCTAAAGGTCATGCATATTTTATAAATTTTATTTTTGAATTGCAGATGGACCCAGGCCGCAACAAAAGGATATTTTAACTATTCGCTCTTATATTTTACTTTTTTTGAAGCAATTAATAATGATTGGTAATGGCGTAAAAGACGATGAACTACAAAGCATTTTAAATTATTTGACCACGATGCACGAGGTATTGAAAATATCCGACATCAAGTTTCACCAAAGCAAAGCATCAACTAATTTACTAAGCAACTGATTATTTTTTGTAATAGGACGAAAACTTGCACGACGTTCTACAAATGTTGATATCTTTAATGTCCGAGCAACCGTCTTCGATGGTTCCAGCTTTCGATGCCAAACAGGGTGTCAGGACAATATTTAAATTATTGGCGGCTGAAAGTCAATTGATTAGGCTACAAGCACTCAAACTTTTAGGCTTTTTCCTTAGTCGCAGCACTCACAAGTAAGTACTAAACATAAGAACGTGTAAATGTACCGCGAAAAATGCTTCAACTAGTACTAACTTGCCGTAACTTCCAGAAGAAAATACGACGTAATGAGCCCACATAATTTATACACGTTGCTAGCTGAAAGGCTGCTACTAAATGAAGAAACCCTCACTTTACCAACCTACAATGTACTGTACGAAGTAAGTACTGAGTTTTTTATCACCTTCAATCTACAGAATTTGAATGCTTCAAATCATTGTTACAATAATTAATAATTAAAAAAAAACTTTTCTAGATAATGACAGAGCATATCAGTCAACAAATTCTTTATACCAGACATCCAGAGCCAGAATCACACTATCGTTTAGAAAATCCGAGTAAGTTATATTAAGGTTTTTGTTTGAAACAATGAATTTACAAAGACTAAATTTCATAAATTACCTTTTCAGTGATTTTAAAAGTCGTCGCTACATTAATTAGACAATCGAAACAAACGGAACAACTACTTGACGTGAAAAAATTATTCCTGTCGGACATGACACTGCTTTGCAACAACAATCGAGAGAATCGACGGACTGTTTTGCAAATGTCTGTCTGGCAGGAGTGGCTCATAGCTATGGCGTACATACACCCGAAAAACACAGAGGAGCAAAAAATATCGGACATGGTATATTCGTTGTTCCGGATGTTACTGCACCACGCGATAAAGCATGAATACGGAGGCTGGCGGGTGTGGGTGGATACTCTTGCTATCGTGCATTCAAAGGTACACGGTTTGATATACTTTGTTAATGAATATCACACGTATTTTTGAAATTAATTAATCGGTGATTTTCAACTTTCCGAAATTTTTAAATGACAAAAATATAAGCTACTTGAACGTTGACTTTGACTAGGTATCCTACGAGGAATTCAAGTTGCAATTCGCTCAAATGTACGAGCACTACGAGAGACAGCGCTCGGATAACATCACAGATCCGGAAGTGAGGCAGCAGAGGCCAATCAGCACGATATCCGGCTGGGATCAACAGCAGCAGCAGCAACACGCCGTTAGCAATGGTTATGCCCGTCCCGCTCAGTGGGCTAACGACCAAAACCGCGAGATAAATCCCGCCGACAATCATTACAAGGTACGTACGAAACGATTGCCTGCGCTGCGCGCACACATACACATACTTCCGAGCGAGTGGCTCAATGGCTTTGCTAATCCAAAACCGCATGTGTTTGCGCAGGAATACGACGCGATAGAGTCGAGCGATCGAATGGACGAGACATGCAGTTGCGACCTCAACTCGATGGACAATACGGAGAGCGACGGCAGCCCAGCAATAGTGGCGCCGCGCAGCAAACTCTGCGGCGAGGCCGCTGAGCAATCCAGCGAGCCCGTGACACCGGAACCGCGATCGGCTACGGATAAACTTGACGTTGCCTCCCAACATGCACGCGCCGAAACACCGACTACCATTCCGGAAGAGGCCGTCAGCGAGCTGTCCCAGCAGACGACTCAAGAGACCAGCGAGGTCGCATCGATCGCGAGCTCCAGCGATGTCCTCAGTGATGTTAATAAGCCTGACAGTCCTGCGCTGGTCGAGGCAGACGCCAACGACGATAGTCACACTTCGATCGAAGACAAGGCTGAAATCGATCAAGAGCTCGTCGCAGCGGACTCGTCGGAAAAACTTGCCGAGTCGGACGAGCTCAAGCCCCAGAAAAGTTTCGATCAATCCGAGGAGATTACCGTTGTAGAGCAAACCACTGTGAACGAGAATGATGACGAAATTCCCGTAGTCCCTGCTCAAACGAATGAGACCGATACCGAGAGTGTTGTGAAGAACAGCGAAGCCTCCGAGACACAACCTGCTGACGTCCTTGAATGCGCAGATGTGGTTGAAGACAAGCTAGACGATGCAAAAACTGTCGATGAAACTGCTAAAGTTGAGGAGAAACCTGAGCCCTGTGAAGATGAATCAAAAGTAGCAGATACTGATATTAATACCGAACCGGCTGAATCCAAAACTGAACTTGAACCAGAAATCAAATTAAAAGATTCAGAAGATCAATTGGAAAAATCGAACGACTTGATCGAGGAAGCTGAAACTGCAACTTCGTCGGAGGTACAAATAAATGAAATAAGTGCTGTTATTAATGGTAATGACAACAAAGAAGTAAGTGAGGAGAGCAATAGCCTGGAACCGTCCAATTCTATTTCTACTCATTTAGAAGATGAAGAAGTCGTAGAAAAAGTTGAAGAGCAAGCTGAAGAGCCCGAAAGCGTATTTACTAGCGACCTATGTAGCAGTTGTAAAGAAAATGAAACTCCAAGTTCTGTAGATAGCGAGACTCAAGTGCCAAACGCCAAGGATCCAATTCCGACAATATCGACGGTCTGCGACGCATCCGCTCAAAATTTGAGTGACGATATTACTGTGCCACAGAACGACGTAGTTGATAAGGATAATCTCGCGGAGGCCGGTGCGTGTAACGCGAATCACGCTCTCGACAACGACATACACCGGCGCAGAGCCAGTTTACCCAATGTGTCGACGGAAAATCTGCAAGGAGAATCCAACAATCTCGACGACGTTTCAGAATCCCCAGAAAAAGATCCCTCATTACAAAAAAGACCAAGGAGTGCCTCTACTTCAACGCAAGTCGAACCGAATCACTTTGGTGCGTTAATTTTCATGTAGTCACCCAATTTCTTAATTTGTTAACATTTCAGTACTCATGAAAATTTTATTTCCGTTTTTTTGCAGAGTCAAAACCTAAATCAGTCAATCCATCCACTAGACCTATGTTTAGTCCAGGGCCATCAAGGCCACCTTTTAGAATACCTGAATTCAAATGGTCTTATATTCACCAAAGGCTTTTATCAGATGTACTATTTTCATTGGAAACTGACATTCAAGTTTGGAGAAGGTATATAAAACAAAAGCTTTACTGATATCATATCAACGCACTATTATTTGAAGTTTATAATGTTGCTTTCACGCTGCTTTAAGTATACATTTTATTAATCTATGTTAATTTTTACAGCCATTCAACCAAATCAGTCCTGGACTTTGTTAATAGCAGTGATAATGCCATATTCGTTGTTAATACAGTGCACTTGATCTCCCAACTCGCAGATAACTTGATAATAGCCTGTGGTGGTCTTTTGCCATTACTTGCCTCAGCTACATCGCCAAATGTTAGTAAAGTTTATAAAATATTAATTTCTTAAAATTCAAATGTTAAAATAATAATTTAATACATAATTAAATTTTTAGAGTGAAATGGACGTAATTGAGCCCACTCAGGGAATGCCAATTGAAGTTGCAGTTTCTTTTCTCCAAAGATTAGTTAATATGGCAGACGTGCTTATTTTTGCAAGCTCTTTAAATTTTGGAGAATTGGAAGCCGAAAAAAATATGTCCAGTGGTGGAATACTGAGACAGTGTTTACGATTGGTTTGTATAAAAAGTTAATTTATAACCGTGTTAGATAGTGATTATAGCGTATAATTGATAATGCTAAAATATTTTATTTTAAAAGCTCTAATGAAATATTTAACAATAACCACTTCATAATCAGAAACCTGTAAAACCAACAACTCAGGAAAACTTCTTAGAAACGAAGTAATGCTCCAAGCACATAAATGATTACTTAGATCATAAGTATTTCATTACACTAGAGCATTTTTTTATATGCAAGAAAATAAGAGTTTTGTAGAATAGATGAGATTATTAGTAATATTATTTAATTAGGCTAGTTTTTAAATAATCAAAAAGATCAATTTTTTAATAACGAAGACAATATTTTTGAATACTACAACTTAATGTACACGGTCTTTCAACAAATACAATTTTTTATAAGCATTATGTATTTTTGTCGCAAAAAATAACTGAGATACTATTTTTGAGAACACTTTTCCACATAATTTTCGATAAAAAAAATGCTTGTTTAGGTCTGTACTTGTGCCGTTAGAAACTGCTTAGAGTGTAAAGAACGTGGCAGAACATACAGCATGTTAGGTCGACAAATTGGTACTAGTAACAAATCACAGCACATACAATCACTTATTCGTGGAGCCCAAACCTCACCAAAGGTACGTAGAATACAGACTAGAATACTCTACATCAGAAAACTTGAACCATTGAAAACAGTGTTAAAACAGAATTATAAAAAAAAGTCAGTCTGGTTGAACTAAATGCAAGTTATAAAAATATAACATTTTTTGTTGCTTTGTATGATAAACTATTTAATGTAGATTGTGAATCTTAGCATAAATTATGCATTAAGTACGGCATTGATTATGCATATGTGTGACTGCACATATTCACGTAATTTATATGATTGTTATAGTTGCTTTTGAATAGTTTATGGAATTGATAATAATAATAATAGATTAAATTTCAATTCTTCCAAGATTAACTTTTTCAAGCTAGAAAAACAATATTTATAGTCATTTTTTTAAAAATACAAAAAATTATTTAAAACTACAGAGGAACATCAGAGCAATTTTTCGTTTCTCACTTGAAATTTTATAATATTTTTTCTTACTAAATTACTATTTTCAGACGGTAGTAGATAATTTGGCGAATCAACTTAGCCCTGTAAAAGATCCTGAAAAGCTTTTACAAGATATGGATGTCAATCGATTGCGTGCTGTTATTTACAGAGATGTTGTAAGATAAATTACACTACCGTACTTTAAAATCGAATGAATTGTATACATTTTTAATTTAAACTTTTTTGAAAATTACAGGAAGAAACCAAGCAGGCTCAATTTTTGTCCCTTGCGATAGTTTACTTCATCTCTGTTTTAATGGTATCAAAATATCGAGACATTTTAGAACCGCCCGTTTCTCAACGACTTCCAAGTCCAGTTCCTGCAATACAAACAAACGGAGCGAATATGAGATCAGGTAGCCCTCAAGGTCTGTAAATTTATCGATTTACTCTTTTTAAATGTTATTCATTGAAAACTCGACTAATATTTAATATCTCGCGATGTCATACAAATACTCCATTGAATTAATAGTTAATGGAAAAAATTCCTTGGTGCATAATGATATGCGTTTACTTGTTGCAAGTTTTATGATATATGAATGGAGTTTTAGTTTTTTTCAATAGTTTTCAAAATGTTGCACCGCTAAAAACATTTTAAAAAAGCATTGCATGGTTAAAAAAATTGAAAAATTATTACCATCACATGATAGTATTTTTAATTGATATCACAACTCCCTCATTTAATGTTTAAAATTTTAAAACAATTTTAACCGTTCATTCGGATAACTGTACTTAACTAAAACCATTAGTAAATTATTCAATCGATGTTCAATGTGTTATGAATCCATATAGCATTATTGAAAAAATTGTAGAAATCGTTTATTTGAGTCACGAACGCTTCAAAGTACAAAAAACCTACAGACGAATTGAATACAAATCATGCTACTCTTACTACAAAATCAATTGGTAAAATCTTTCTTGTAGTTCATCTATGATCAGAAGTTTTATAAAAAATTTATGTACAACTGAAAGGAATATGATATTAGTACCTTCTCTAAAAAATGTATGAATCCTAATTTTAAAAGTCTTACTATTATGCAATCAATTTTAAGTGAAGTATGAATAGTCGTCGAAAATATTAATGTATAAAACTAAAAATTAATGAATCTGTAACGTGTAAATCGAACCAAAAAGCTTTTCTTTTGAAATAATAAAGTTTCTATAAAACTTGCATTTGCAAGTATCGATTGCAAATTCTTGTTTGCAGCAGCCGTAATAGATGGCGTTGAAATAGCAGTTTCTTGTCTTGAATCTAATGAAAAATTCCATTCAAAAATAATGCAGATTCTTTTTAATTATTAGCATCTTAATAACCTTGCAACATTTCAAACATGAGCTTCTCCATCATTTGTCCACTTTTGAACTCGATAATGCATTGAAAATTCTCGATGTCGACAAGGTAGATTTCGTGAAAAAAAAACACGATACTATGCGTAGTGTTGAAATTTACGCAAAGCAAGAACTTGAAAAAGTCGAGAATGCAACGAGCCTTAGAAACCAATATGTAAAGCTTTATAGTTGATAGCTGACTTAGCTCTGGCAGCCTGTGGATAATTTGTAGCAAACCTATAAAGTAGAAAGGGAGATAGCGAGATAGAGGGAGAGAGTAACATGTGTGCAAATGTGGTTGTCCGCAGGGGATGGGAACAGTGGCGGAGGAGGTCGGCCCTTGTTCCCGCAATGGTCGCACCACGTGTATCCTCAGTTCCTCCCAGGGTCCCATCCAAACGCGAACGCGCACGCCAACCACCACGTGAGCCAGCACCACCACGAGCACCCGCCGCTACCGCAGGCCTCCGAGCAAGCCCTACTCCGCCGGCGTCGGCAGGCTAACAATTCCTCGGCCGCCGCCGGCTATTACATTCCCAATCACTATAGCAATCATCATAATTACCACTCGAATAATTACAATTATCATCGCCATCATCATTATCATCATCATAATAACAACAACCATCATCATGCTCTGCAAAAGCATATCGACCAGCCCCGAAATATCTATCATAGAAATTCTGGTTACGGTATGCAAGGTAATTTATGCATCCTTTCATTTGCTTGCATTTTTAGACCAGTGTTGTGTCCTTGTTGTGTAGCTTTTCATTAATTTTCGTTAATTTTTTCGTTTAAGTATAGTCGCATGTCTTGTAATCCCCATCACTTTTCTTTTGATTTTCATATTTTGATTTTTCCCCATTAGTGACAGTTTTATAGTGCCAGAGCAAAATGTTGAAAACATGATTTTTCCCCAGCAATTGTATTTTGATTTAATTTGGTGTAATTTCTATTTTTTCTCATAATGTTTATCGGATGCAACGGATATCTGAAATTGTTCGCTTCTAGGATGTTTTTTCTCAAAATTTTGAGACATTGTTGTAAATCATGTTTACAATTTGTTACAAATAATACATCGTCATACCCCGATTGAAAAAATTATGCACTGTAAAAAAAAAAAGAAAAATTGTGTCCAATCCTGACTATTGAAGGAGCTTTTTTTGCGTTTGCACCACACGAAGTTACGTCCTATCCCCGTTTCATATGATTATTTTATAATGCTCCCCTCATTTGACGAATATTACAATTGATCAAGAAAGTAGTTGATTATTGCCGATAATGAGGGAAGATTCATTTTATTTTCACTTTTTATGGCATGATTTTAATTTACGAATTGATTAATTCTGCCGGCAGATTACATTATAGCTAACATAATCATATTATTTTACAGAGAGCAGCGGTATTATGAGTCAGTCTGAATCACAAGATGACGGTGAATACGAAGTTATTATTGTAGATGAGAACAATTCCTCTATACTCGCAGATCACGATGTTCCTTCTTCCGGACCACCTTCGACAAAAGTAATTACGTCTCAATTATTTTAATTAATAGCTTATTAACGTATATTAATTCATGCAACAGTTTAGTACAAATTTATTAGCTACCAGATATGAATATTTAAGTTATATTTTGCTTGCAAATTTTTCACTTAAAATTCAGATTGGATTTTAATCACAGGATTTAGCTTGCTTTTACTCATAATATTCTGGACAAGGTTTATTCGTGACTCGAGTAAGAGTAAATAATATCAGAAAATTTTCTGATAAAAAACAACTAACCATGAATACCTTTCCAGTATATAAAAGATATAAAATGCAGCATTGCCTTTTTCATTATTTTATTATTAGTTTTCTTTATTTATTTCAAAAATATTTATCAATAACTCTAACATTTATAGCAAGTATTAAAATTTGTTAACAATGCACGATTTGAATTAACTTTGTTTTCAAGGACTATTTTTATTAGTAGTTTTATCGTAAGATTTTATTACTTTCTAATTCTACATAATTAAAATTCTAAAACTACTCACTACACTTTGCTCTTTTGTGCCGTTGTCTAATTAAACTAAAGGTTGTTATTTAATCTCACTAGAATTTTAGCTTAAAATTTATTGTTCTTGTAGATTAATTTTTAATATGTCGTTGAGTCTACTATCTTCATTCTGTAAATTGAGATCTAGCTAAATTTTTCTAAATAATAATTCAATTTCTAACAAAATTTATTTTGAAAAGTACATCCTCTATATGCGATTATACCTTTGTTTTCGTTATCTTAAATCCAATAGCTGAATGAAGGGAAAATTTTATATCAAATATTTATATCTTATTTGAGAGAAAAAATAATCGATTTTTTTCGTGTTTTCAAAATTGTTCACTGTCGTGTTTTTCATTTTCGTGTTTTTTCACATATTTAAAATAATCACAGTATCAGAATAAATCAGAGCACAAATGAAAAATTTAAATGGTTTATTATACGTTGTTGATTCTAACTTTTTGGTATTTATATCGAATGCAAACTAACTTCGGTACTCCAGACTGGCCACACTGGTGTATCGCAGTCAAGGACTATCCTCGAGGATTACCCCTCGACGGAAAAGACTGTTTCTTCTACTGCGAGAACTGAAACACTACGAAACGCACAGGTAACATGATAGATGTGCGAAAAATGATGAGCGATTTTAATGGTGTTTATTCGACTGTGAAAAAAGTCTCGTTTATTACTATTCCGGCTATTAATTCTTATGTTAATCACGGAATATTTTTTTTTCTTTGATAATAATGATATGACAAAAAAGGATGCTTCTCTTTTTACTAACTTCTAACTACAATTTCAATTGTTGTGTTTATCTAGATATTCTTTGATAAAGTGAAAGTTTGCAAAATTTTACGAAACTTAACGTGTAAATAATCAATTTTGTAATGTCATTTAAAAAAAATTTATCTATTAAATTGATTAAAAATTTTGAGAACTTTCATGTGACATAAGTAAATTGTAAATCAGTAAAATTGAACTTTCTTTAAATTATCCGATTTCTCATATCTATTGGCTTTTTGTATTGTAGAATTTATACAATTTTTCTGCAGATAACCAATTCTGTAAATCATTAATTTTTTAAATATTCTCTAGTTCGATTACTTATTAGATATTAGATGTTTGTTTTTTGACATCATTCATTCACTCATTAAAGGTAGTTTGTTATTCCTTACATTTTTTGAAAAATTTTGAATTTCATTCATAGATGCAATAAATATAGGTATCACTTTCTATAACTTCAATGTCGATAGTTTTGCATATCGTTAATAATATTCGTGATGAATTTTTGAATAAATGGAATTTAGATTCTGCATATTATTAAATAAAAATAAATACTTTTACATCAACGTTATATATTACTTCATAGATAAAATTAAAAAATGGATCATTCCTAAAATAGAATTTTTTCTAACTTTAGATATACGATATTACATATACATTTTATAAGAATGTCAGAAACATAATTGAATAAGAAATTAAGATAGTTACATTTTTATCGTTGCATAAAATGTGCAGCTAATATCTATTAACTTACGACCACTGAATGTTATTAATCAAAAGCATTATTTTCAGAGTAATGATTCGAGTGAAGAGATACCTCGTAATAATACTGCTGTTGATCCTAATCCTTCTGAAATAACGATTGAAAATGAAAATAAGCATAATTCGTCCGAAGAAGCTTGGACTGATGTAAATCTTAATGAAGAAGGAGACAATATGACTAATTCATGCGATGATCCAAGAAATATTCACAATATGGCCCACTCTCGAGGTATTTATTTATTATTGTTACAATTAAGTTCTAGTCATACGTGGATTTATCTTACATAACTTATACATGGTTTTTTTGCATAGGTGACATTCCGGATAACGAAGGTAACGTACTTGAACCAGAAATATCGAATAATCCTGAGAGAGGAGAAAAACCGACTTCGGAAATATCTGTGGTAAGAGTGCCAGATCACTTAGTCACAGTGCAATCTCCGCGACCGGACGATTTGCCCATCAAAAGTCTAGTAGAGCATTTACCTATTCCAACACCTTCGCGCGAGGCTTCACTCACCCAAAAACTTGAAATGGCTCTTGGCTCTGTTTGTCCGTTGTTAAGGGAAATCATGGTGGACTTTGCACCGTTTCTATCCAAAACCCTGGTTGGCTCGCATGGTCAGGAGTTACTGATGGAAGGAAAAGGTATTATATTTTTTCTAAGTACTTTAAATTACTGTTCATGAGATGGTAATGAAATTAATAACGATTTGTTGAAGGTCTCACAACGTTTAAAAACAGCAACTCAGTTGTTGAACTCGTAATGCTGTTGTGTTCGCAAGAGTGGCAAAATTCCCTCCAAAAACACGCTGGCTTAGCCTTTATTGAACTGATCAACGAAGGGAGACTTTTATCGCACGCCATGAAAGATCATATCGTGCGTGTCGCGAACGAGGCAGAATTCATTTTGAATCGTATGCGAGCTGACGACGTACTGAAACATGCTGATTTTGAGGTACCATCAATAATCTAATAAAACTCTCCGTGCTCGAGTCTCGAGACGAGCTCTAAATTTTTAATTCTCGTACAGACGCAATGCGCCCAAACTCTTTTGGATCGTCGCGAAGAGGAACGAACTTGCGACCATTTGATAACTGCTGCTCGAAGGAGAGACAACGTCATCGCCAGCAGATTGCTCGAGAAAGTTCGCAATATTTTATCAAACAAGCACGGCGCTTGGGGCTACATGGATCCGATGGCTGCGAAGTGAGTTTTCAAATTCTCAAAGAGGCTCGAATAACTTTTTGGTATTTCTCTCTCGTTCGCGCTTGACTTCAATCTCTCCGCTTTTGTTATAGAATGTCAGAGTACTGGAAACTCGACGCCTGGGAGGATGACGCCCGCCGGCGCAAAAGATTTGTACATAACCCGTTGGGTTCGAGTCACCCTGAGGCGACTTTGAAAGCTGCACTCGAGCACGGTGCGCCCGAGGACGCGATCCTCCAGGCTCGAGAAGAGTTCCATGCTCATCTGGCAGCCTCGCGAGCTCATCAGCAACAAATACAGTCTACTGATCTCATGGACGATAGTGAATTACTGACCGACGACCGAGATCTCGACGCCGATCTAGCAGGTACTTGCTATTTTCAATGTAGATTTATGAATTTTAATCCTCCATCACATTGAACTTCAAAAAAATATTTTTCTTTTCCTTCAGGACCAGTAAATATAAGTACTAAAGGAAAACTTGTAGCTCCGGGTATCGTAGCTCCAGGAATAATTTCAATAACTTCATCAGAGCTATATTTTGAAGTGGACGAGGACGATCTTGAATTCAAGAAAATCGACCACGAGGTAAGTTTAAAAAATATTATTCGATTCGATTTCTTTCGACTATTTTTAGAATATCTTTCTGTTTTTGTTAATTAAATTTCCTCTATAAAATTAGTCTAACGTTAATATAAAATTGAACAAAGATTGCAGAAAGAATCATGCAATTTTTCATTCTCCGCAAGTAAAATTTATACTTTTTTATTAAAAATGTTTTCTCCGGGATATTTGACCCTGAAAATGTGAAACGTTTAAAAATACATTATTTAAATAAAAAATAGTTAAAATTTACACTATTTTCAAGTATAATTTTTCCCTCAAAACGAGTAATGATTCATTTTTATCATGTGTTGTTAGTACTACTTGGCGCCCGAAATGTCCATTCTTTGTGACAGGTTGACCCCGTTTCGATAATTATCGCAAAAAATGGCGAGCTTCTATTTTTTGCTCATTTAGATTAAAATAAAATCGACGAAACGTGAAAGAATCGTGAAAAAAAGTTGAGTGTTGTTTTTATGAGTTTATGTCAACTTTTATTGGTGTTAAACATTTTTAAAAGAGAATATTGTCACATATTCGTAATGCCCAATAAAACATTCTTCCGATACTTATTAAATCAATATTAAAAATTCACGGTCATCCTGTGCTATCCTGTTCTATTATGCTTATAAATTTGGAATTATTATCGCACTTTTCGTTAATATTATTGATAAAAACAAGCCGACCTAGCTGTGAATATTCGAAAAAAAGGATTATATAAATAAAAACATTTAATTGTATTTTAATTCGCGCTCAAAATAAATATTCGTCTTTACGAATGATAAGCGTCCCAATGGCAGTTGAGTAAAAAAACGTGTATTCGGCGCGATACATATTTATAGTAAAATGCACGAAATGAAATTAATGAGCTAGCTATAAATAAAAAGCGTCCCGTGGGAATTGTCGAACGCTGAAAGGACGCATATGGATATAATTTTTCATTGGGTACGGAGATAAGATCGCGCATTCCGTATATTATATGCATGTGTAGGTATACGTTACGTTGCTACTATACTACATCTTAGTCGAAACCAGGAGCGGCGAGGACAAATTCACAAAAAGCACTAACTAGTCAACGAATGATTCAGACGAACGGAAAATAAAGAGAAAGAGAGAGAGAGAGAGAGAGAGACAAAAAAAGGAGAGAGTAAAAGAAAAAAAGCTATCCCAAAATAACGGGTTGATAATAATCAATTTGACTAAGCTCAAATTCGACTGGTTAGCTTTTGGAACGAACACGAATTCGAACTTTGAATGTTAAGTAAGTGCATTTTTTGAATGATAAACGACGTGACGATTACCGGTTGTACTCTCAATTCTTCAATTCAAGTTCACTAATTCAATTCTTTTTATTTAGCAATGAAAAAATTTTGAGTTGCACAAAATGAAATCCGATAAGGATGGTAGAATTTTCCCATTATAGGCTCGTTATTCATGGATTTCAGTCACGCGTGGCGACGATGATCCTTGGGAATGAGAGTTGCTAATGAAAAAGTATAAAAAGGCCAGGCACATTGTACATCGGCGTCTGCGTGTGTGTCGACCGAGGCGTATGATTATCATATATTGACCGTAGATCTCGCTCTTGTAGACATATAGCTAAACAAAACAAACATTCGGAAAGGTTCCTTGGAGCCTCTTGTATATGCCTCTATCTCTTACCTAAAGCTCAGATCTCTCAGGGTCAGCAATTATGGGCCCCCCTGCAGGTACTCTCTCTCTTTCTTTCTCTTTTTTTCCTAGTATTTCGACTCTTTTTTGTCTCCTTACGTTCTTTTTATTTTTTTTTCTTTGTTGCATTTCGCTCTCACTTCATGTGTAACATTTCTATCCAGTGTGCCGCTGTTCATAATATTTCTTCATGGCCGCGCATGAACCCGATTTATTGAGCATTTTGGCAACTTTTATTTGTTTTTTCGTCTACCTCAACATTTCATCGGGACTCTGGATTATTTATATCGATGATGGACGTTTCTTGTCAGTTTCATCGCTTCTCGTTTTTTTTTTAATTTTTTTTATTTATTAATTTATTGATTGATAAGGCTTACTTTTATGTGATGTTTGTGGTGTCGAGTCTCATCAAGGTGGTCGTTAGCTGAATATTTTAACATTCATAATGTTCTTTCTTATCTTGTACAAGTTGCGATGAATTTCGCAGAATCGCTTTAATCTGTACTTAATATGCCTGCAAAAAAACTTTAAACTTATCGATAGCATTTAATAACGCTGAGTAGTTTAGAATTTCTCGTTTCGTTATAGCGACTACCGCAGGACAACTTTTTTTTCCCTTTTATTTCGGTCGAACGTATCGTGTTTGTTTTGCGTCTTATCGCATAACAAACGATTAATTACTACGAAGACTTCCACGACAAATAAATGTACAATGAAAATTATTATGCATATTAAGTTACGCACTATATAGTTTTTATATAGATCCGCGTTCGCGTGGATTTTGACACGTGCGAGAAGCAAAAAAAGGGCGAAATAAACATAAGGCAATAACATAAATATTGCATGTAGCGCATGATGTATAACTCGGCTCGGTAAAATGGAATTGAAAAAAAGCGCGAGAGAACGCCGGGATGATGTAAGGGGGGCAGCAGAAAGGTGGAGCATAAAAAGTCAATTATTTCGTTGGCAATTTTGCCGAGTGTTTATTTAAGGAACAGTTTGCACTTAGTTTTATGAGCCTCATTAGTCGACGAAGCATCAGAGCACGTATATGTGTACGCGGGTATGCGCGTCGAGAGAGCCGCGTGCCTTTGGGGCTACGCGCGCGCGATGCAGCGCGGCTCGACTCTCTTCGCCGTTCGAGTGTGTGTGTGTGTGTGTGTGTGTGTGTGCGCGCAGATGCAAAAGAAGGAGAAGAAAGGAAAAAGGGAGAGCTAAGAAAGCTTCGAGGAATCCACCTCGGTGGATCATTGCTCGTCGGACGGCTACACATGCAGGATCGTAATATTCGGTTGAGAAGAAAAGAGGCGCGCGTATATAAATATGCGCGGGCGATCACCGTATAGGCACCACCGTCAGCGGCCTCATGCGCGCTGCTTTATATACACTCAAATAGCGCGCCGTACACAGATTCTATTGCGGTTATAGAGAGAGAGAGGATCGGTCAGACATTTTTCTCTTTGGTACAGGTTTACGCGCGATTCTTGCTGTCGTCTCTCTCGGCTTATATCGCCTTCAACTGTATAATACCAACTGCACACGAGAGGCGCAAGCCGTGGATGTGTACCATTGGCGCTATATATAATAACATGTGATACCAAGTGCAGTGTGTACAGCGATGTTCTCTCTATTTCTTTCTTTCTTTCTTTCTTTCTTTCTCCATCCGATCTTTGCCGTAATGGCTCGAGCAAACATATTTATCGTGATTTATCGTTTACACGAACCTTCCCTCTCTCTTTTATCTCTCTTTCTTCTGCTCCATTCCCTTCGCCAGCTAATATCTCGTATCTGCGTTGCACTGATGTGTGCATATAATACATGTGCAACTCAACTCTTTCGAGCGAGCCGGGTAGTAAAAAGGTGCATTTTGAGAGAGCGGCGCGATCAAGCCGAACGCGCAGCTCTCCAACTTGAGTAACTTATTGCTTGTTTTAGGGCCCAAGAGTATTGATTAGTTAAAATATTATGTGTCAAAACTGTGTTTCAACTTTGCAACGTGCTCTCGAGTCGCCAAGTATTTCGGTCGTTTTAAAGAGCGAGTCAAGCGTGCCGGCCGACCAATCAATCAATTTTCGCCTTTTAAAAACGTCACATTTGTTCGGTTAATTTTTACTTTACGTCTGAATTATTATTTTCAACAATTTGGCAAGTAGATGCTAAAAAAAAAGTAATTTTCATCGATATAATGCCTCTATGAGCTGCCGACGCGCGCGCGCGTATCAACTTTACAAGCTCGCTCGCTCTCGCTTACGCGCTTGATATATTGCTGTTGACATTATAATAACGTGTTTGTAATTGCTGGTTGTGCCTCGAGCGATTACTTTTTTTTCGTTTGTGTATAAAACTTGATATACAGCGCAGAAGACAACATTAAAAACTGCTCGGAGAGAGAGCATGTGTCCGATATATTTATATATATTGAAAAGTGCACCTCTCGTCGTAACTTATCGCAATCTTTCAAATTTATTTTGCCGTTGCATTAAAGATCCTCAATCTACGCTTATATTCGCTATTTTAAAGTCGATATTGCTCGCCCGGACGCTGTGTTTATGTTGTATACTTTGCAGAGCCGAGGCAGTATTTTTCAATAAAATTGAATTTGAATATTTATTGAACGTTCGCGTCGAGCTCGTTTGATTTACGATTCCGATAATTGCTTTAGTATGTTGGCTCACTCGTATGATTGATTAAATGCGTGGCAGATTTTGTTTTATTTTTTATTTTTTTATTCATTTTCAATTTTGGATTGTAAACATTTCCGTGTCATCGTATATGACGTGATCGAGATGCATGAAGTTAATTTGGAAAGTAAATTCGATGACATTTTTATCCTCTATTGCAATGTCCTGAACAATGATGCCAAATTTACTATCTATACAAATCTCATGTGAATTCACACGCATTCGGTGTCATACGGCTCGATATCAAATGTTTGTCTCGAGAGTCAAAAATCACAAGAGTTGACTGGACAACACTCGCGGGCATTCGAATGAGTCATCTCATTAGCATTACTGGGACATAAATAATCGTATCGTTCGTATATCGGGCCTTATTGAAAAGATAATGAGAGGAAGAGGAAGGCACGAGGCGCAGGCAGAGGCCATGGGCAGCGGGAGGCAGTGGGAGTGTACGTTGCGAGCCGACGCCGCGAGAAAGAACGACAGTATATACAAAGAAAAGAAAGGAGGCGCAGGGGTAAAGCTCGACTCGTAAACACGAAGAAAATGACTGAAAAATCGATTAGCCACGCACGAGATCATATGGTTCGAGGACTTCGGCCGCACGGATACCGAACCGGGGCGCAGGTTTACTCG